GATTGGTTGCCCCGTTGGGACTCTGTCCCGCAGATGGCAGGCGCGAGGTACCCTCGTGCCAAGGACCCACCTCCTCCGGACTCATCTTCCCCCCGGGGTCTTGTGACACAGCGTTGGTGAAACTTTGGTGGTCGGACGGCAGGACCAGCGCGACGGCAAACCGGCTGCAGGTATTTGCCAGGTGCGAAGGCAGAATGTAATTACAAATACTGTAATAATATAGAATGGAAATCAATAGGTCGTAAATGACTTCAGCAGCTAAACTAACTATTGGCCCATCTCAACACTCCTCTATACCTTCAACCTCAGCGCCTTCAACGTCACCAAATTTAACAAGGCTATCACCAACAAACGCACCCAGCTTTTCTCGAACAATAGCACCAACAAAACAGAACATGTTTGCAGTATTTTTCTTTTGCATCTGCATCTTGTTGATTTCGCACTCTGCATTTTATCTAATTTCATACAATCTGTAACTACGTCGTGGAATATTGACAGTTAGATCGACAGTGGCATTTAAATGTTCCACCATTACATGCATTTTTGAACAGTACTGTCAATGTCCAGTTCCTCTTGTTCCATCTCTTTGCCATCGCCGGAAACACAGTGCAACGTAAAAACCAGTGTGTGTTGCACGTGTTGTATAGATTTCTCTAAATGCCTTACTATGTTTCATATTTCTCCCTTCAAACGATTTGCAATCGGTCAATTCTGAGAACTCAAGATTACACACTTCACTGCTATTGCTCTATAAGTATATTCAATTAAGATTAGCTTGTTTATTATAGAACTTCTTCTTTACATTAGACATTACATATTATTAACTCATTTTTGTCTTTTTGTTAAAGGTGAATTAAACGCATTTCCTGAAGTTCTTTTCATTGAGTTACTTCTGCTTTGATTATTCGATTTATTTTAACCACAATTAGTAGAAGAATTCATTCTTTTAGCCATTTCTGATCCTGACTATCTTCTTCATCAATCCAGAATCATATCGCCCGATTCTTCAAATTCCTAAGTCTAGAGGTTTAGGAGTTTAGGGGGTTTCTCGGCGAAGAGGCCTTGCAAAGTTCTGGAAGTAGCGGTGGCTGTAGAGGAGCCCTTCGTGCCGTCCGTGACTGCGATGAATTGTACACTTATCACTTTACAACTTACAACTATGGCTCTGACAGTGGTGTGTACTGCAAGCTAGATGCTCGTTTGGGGCGGTGACTACTGCCACGACTACCACTACTACCACTACAACCATTACAGCCACTACAACCACTACAACCACTACAACCACTGCTACCAGTACTACCACTACTACCACTACAACCACTACAAGCACTACAACCACTACTACCACTACTACCACTACTACCACTACTGCCACTACTACCACTACTACCACTACTACCACTACTACCACTACCACTACCATTACCCCTACCACTACTACTACTACTACTCCTACTACTCCTACTACTACTACTACTACTACTACTACTACTACTACTACTACTACTACTACTACTACTACTACTACTACTACTACTACTACTACTATATACTACTACTACTATACTACTACTACTACTACTACTACTACTACTACTACTACTACTACTACTACTACTACTACTACTACTACTACTACTACTACTACTACTACTACTACTACTACTACTACTACTACTACTACTACTACTACTACTACTACTACTACTACTACTACTACTACTACTACTACTACTACTACTACTACTACTACTACTACTACTACTACTACTACTACTACTACTACTACTACTACTACTACTACTACTACTGCTACGACTAGGACTACGACTACGACTACGACTACGACTACGTACTACTACTGCCGAGCTGTGCGAATTGCAGGGCAATCAGCGCCTGCGACATATCCAGACAGGAGCTGGATGATTCAGCACAGCGTCCAGACTCAGCTGGATATCTGGCAAGAGGCAGTCGCGATGTATGTCAGGTTGCTGCTTGTTCATTCTCGGATGCACTGAGGCTGCAACAACCGGGGAATGCGCGCCACCCGGACTTGTGCTCCCAGGCCAAAGCGTTCACAAGGCCCCGAAAAATCTAAGAGGGTTCAAAACGACTCCGAATCCAAAAGCGTGCAAAAGGCTCCGAAAAGCTCCAATCCACATTCGTTTCCGGCCGAAACACGCAAAGCACATGCAACAGAAATGCCCGGGAAAGGAAGCTCCGGCCGGAACATGCAAAAAGCAAACGCAGAAAAGTCCAAAATATGATTGAATGGTTATTAAGAGATCATTTTAAAAACTATTGATCGTGAAAATCGTCGTGATATTAAGTGCTATAAGCGATTGGAGTCCGGGGCACGGCCCAAAAAAGGCTATAAAAAAGAGCAAAAGAGATGAACTCTTGTCGGCGCCAGCTGTGCTGTTTCGGCCCCTAAACCCTGAACCCCAAGATAGGTTTAGGGTTTAGGGTTTAGGGTTTGGGGTTTAGGGTTTAGGGTTTAGGGTTTAGGGTTTAGGGTTTAGGGTTTAGGGTTTAGGGTTTAGGGTTTAGGGTTTAGGGTTTAGGGTTTAGGGTTTAGGGTTTAGCGTTTAGGGTTTAGGGTTTAGGGTTTAGGGTTTAGGGTTTAGGGTTTAGGGTAAAGGGGGTTTAGGGTTTAGGGTTTAGGGTTTTAAGGGTTTAGGGTTTTAAGGTTTTAGGGTCTAGGGTTTAGGGTTTAGGGTTTAGGGTTTAGGGTTTAGGGTTTAGGGTAACCCTGAAACCTAAACCTTAAAACCCGCCTGCACCAAGGACTCCTCGAGGTGGGCCAAGAGCTCGTCGATGACGGCACCGGGCGCCTCCTCCGGCTCCTCCTTGTTTTTGCGCGCCGGCGGGCGGTTTAGGGTTTAGGGTTTAGGGTCTAGGGTCTAGGGTCTAGGGTTGAGGGTTGAGGGTTGAGGGTTGAGGGTTGAGGGTTGAGGGTTGAGGGTTGAGGGTTGAGGGTTGAGGGTTGAGGGTTGAGGGTTGAGGGTTGAGGGTTGAGGGTTGAGGGTTGAGGTATGACGGTTGAGGTATGATGGTTGAGGGCTGGTGTAGGGGCTTTGTAGGGTTTACCGGGCTTATAGGTAGGGTTTAGGGTTATAAGGTATATATATATATATATATATATATAAGGTATACCGGGTTCTCCGTTTTTTGTTGTTCTCGCGTGGCGTTTGGTGGTTTAGGGTTTAGGGTCGAAGCTCGAGGATGGACCGGACCATTGGCCCAAACACCCATACTTCGAAAATGTTCACCCCAAAAACTCCGAGCCCTAAACTTTAAGCATCAACCCTCTCGACAAAAAAACAATAATAAAAGAAGCAAAAGAAAAACAATAACAAAAAAACAAAAAACAGTAATATAAAAAGAAGCAAACAAAGAACCCCAGACAACGAAACCCCCGGTCCGACGCCGCCGCGTCGAGGGCCTGCACGAGGCTCCGACGTCGCGAGCTGGCAGCCTTTTGGTGGGGCTTGGGGAAGTTTGAAGGGTTTAGGGCTTGGGGTTTGGGGCTTGGGGTTTAGGGTGTTTGAGGTTTAGGGTTGGGGTTTAAGGTTCCGGTTTAGGGCTGCCTGAGGCTTAGGAGCCTTGGGGAAGCAGAGGCTGAAAGGCCCAACCGAAGCCCGAAAGCTTGAAACGTCAGCAGACCTCTCCATGCATTGGAAATGGGGGGTTTAGGGTTTAGGGGTTGCTTAGGGTTTAGGGTTTGGGGTTGAGGGTTGAGGGTTGCGGGTTGAGGGTTGAGGGTTTAGGGTTTAGGGTAGCCCTAAACCTTATGCCCAAAACCCGTTTTCCCTAAACCCTAAACCCGTTTTGCTGCACATCGGAACCTCGAAGCCCTAAACCCCCAACCCCCCAAAGCCACTGTACCACTTGCGGGCCTGCATCACTGGAGTAGCTGCCTCTAGAGGCCTGGGAAGGAGAGGCGTGAGTAGGGTTTAGGGTTTGGGGTTTAGGGTTTAGGGAGGCAATAGCAAACCCGAGCTTTCCCCTGATAGGCCTCGGGCCTTATGCCGGTTTTGGGTTTTGGGTCTATCTGATCTTCAATACCGTTAATACCTGACTCGCGTGCAAGTCCTGCAGTCTGAAAACAGCGTGGCATTCGGAAAAGGTTCACTTGGGGGTTTTCGGAAGGGGTACCTTGTTAGGGTCCTTATTCTAATGGAATCCTACTACTTTGGGGGGTCTATTTTAGGGGCCCCGTATTCTCGTAGAACCCCCACTTCTTCACAACAGCCGTGTCATGCAGTCTCGTTGAGTCTCGGTCCATGCGTCGTCGTCGTTCGCATGCGGACTCTCTTCTGCTTCTCCAAGACATGGTTCACCTTGGCATGGTGCACTCATGAAAAAAGCGTCGACATCACAGCCCTAAACCCTAAACCCTAAACCCTAAACCCTAAACCCCCTTCAAGCTTCAAGCGCCGGCCTGAATCTGCTGCTTCGGCTGCGCTGCCTTCGTCGCAGGAAGCGTCTGCTGCCACCTCCATCTCCGGAAGCGCCTCCGGGTCCTGGCGAAGGGATTCTGACCCCTAGGGTTTAGGGTTTAGGGTTTAGGGTTTAGGGTTTAGGGTTTAGGGTTTAGGGCTAGGGTTTAGGGTTTAGGGTTTCGGGCGAAGGGATTCTAACCCTAGGGCTTAGGGCTTAGGGCTTAGGGTTTAGGGTCCTGGCTAGACCCAAGTACAGTTCCTCCGCTTTTTGGGGGGGCACAAAGAAGCTTACCTGCCCCCCCCCCCCGACAAAAAAGAACCAGGAACGCTGTACGACGGAGCTTCGGGCCAGAATCTAGTTGAGACCACAAAGCTATACTGATACTGATGTACCCAAGCCAAAAAGGGAAAGACTAGAACGAATCCCCCCGCCGCTCTCATTCATGTCCTTCGCACGGCATGCGGAGGCATCTTCACGGCATGGGGATGCGGAGGTGTGAGAATTCGGCTTGGCCGGCTTGGGTTCAGCTGGCCCTAAACCCTAAACCCTAAACCCTAAACTCTAAACCCCGCCTGGCTGCGACCAGGTGGGGTCAGCTCAGCTTCCTCGCTCGCATACTTGGGGCCTCCATCGGAAGCCGACCTGGCGGTTCGGGGCTTCTAGGGGTTTAGGGTTTCGGGCTTGCAGGGTGTTTAGGGTTTAGGGTTCGGGGTTTCGGGTTGTACGGCCTATTCGTGGGTGTTTGGGTTGATTGAGGTCTAGGGGAGCTTGGGGTTTTGGGATTTTGGGGTTTTGGGGTCTTGGGGTTTTGGGGTGTAAGTAGGGTACGTAGGGTTTAGGGTTTGGGGGCCCGTCTCCCAAACCCTCAGTTTCTTCGGGCATCGTATTCATGTGGAGATCGGGTCTTAGGTCGGGGGGTTTGGGCTGGAAGGGTTGAGGGAAGTTCCAAGGGGTGGTTGGGGTTTAGGGTTGAAGACTCAGGGTTTAGGGTTTGGGGTTTAGGGTTTAGGGTAGGGTTTAGGGTTTATCAGATAGAAATATGGTCTGGCAAGTAAGGACCCTCGGCGCAACACAGGGTATACAAGGAGGCCTGAGATCTGAGGGGTTCCTCCTATTGTACCCTAAGCCCTAAAACCCTAAACCTAAACCCTAAAACCCTAAACCCGACACCCTAACCCTCAAACCCTAAACCCTCAAAAGCCCTTAAACCCTAAACCCTAAAGCCTTAAAGTCCCTTAAGCCCTAAACCCTAAACCCTAAACCCTAAACCTGAGTCCCCGACTCCTCCTGGAAGCCCTCCGGAAAGGCTCTGAGAGGCGTCGCGCCCGGGCTTTGTGGGCTCTTTGCTGACTCCTGGTCCAACCCGCAAAGACCCCATACACCCTCTCCAGGCCCCCATGAGTTCTGTTGTCTAACACTGCCTGCTCCCTAAACCCTAATCGAATCCCTAAACCCTAAACCCTAAACCCTGAACCCTAAACCCTAAACCCTAGACCCCAAACCCTAAACCCTAAACCCTAAACCCTAAACCCCAAACCCTAAACCCTAAACATCCCAAGGCCGAAGCCCTCCTCGCCAGTGGGCGGGACAGCGGCCACGGGCTTCGAAGGCCTGGGCAGACGCGCCGGAGACGGCGGCTTGGCCGGGCAGAACCTTGGCTGCTGGGCCTAAGGCTTTGGAGATATAGGGTTTAGGGTTTGGGGTTTAGGGTTTGGGCTTTGGGGTTTAGGGTTTGGGGTTTAGGGTTTAGGGTTTGGGGTTTAGGGCTTAGGGTTTGGGGTTTAGGGTTTAGGGAAGCTACCGCAGGAAGGAACCCATTAACGATGCGCTGCATCTACAGTGAGGGTAATCCATGCGGTAGCATAAACAAGTTACCATTGTGATGCGGAGCCCGTCCCTTTTGCTACATATCTGTACGTGGAAACGTATGCCTGAGTTTACCATCGCGCGCACACACACACACACAAATATCCATCCATATGCAAATATATACATATACATATAAATATATATACACATATATATATATATATAGATAGATAGCTAGATAGATATACATAAATAAATATAATATGTATATATATATATATACACATATATATATATATGTGTGTGTGTGTATGTTTGTGTATATGTATGTATGTACGTACGTATGTATGTATGTATGCGTGTATGCATGTATGCATGTATGTGTATGCGTGTATGTGTGTGTATGTGTGTATGTGTGTGTGTGTGTATGTGTGTATGTGTGTATGTGTGTATGTGTGTATGTGTGTATGTGTGTATATGTGTGTATGTGTGTATGCGTGTATGTGTGTATGTATGTATGTATGTATGTATGTATGTATGTATGTATGTATGTATGTATGTATGTATGTATGTATGTATGTATGTATGTATGCACGGAAGGACGCTGCTTTCATATCGACAAGACGGAAACTGAACCCTAAACACCAAACCTAAACCCTAATTAAACCCTGCACTCTGAACCCTAAACCCCTAAACCCTTAAACCCTTAAACCCTTAAACCCTTAAACCCTTAAACCCTTAAACCCTTAAACCCTTAAACCCTTAAACCCTTAAACCCTTAAACCCTTAAACCCTTAAACCCTTAAACCCTTAAACCCTTAAACCCTAAACCCTAAAACCCTAAAACCCTAAACCCTTGAAGTCTTTAGCAGCAGCCCAGGAACTTTGCGAGGCGCGCTTTTTGGAGGGCCGCCGCCTGGCTGGAGGACTCATCACCCCTAAGGGTAGTTACATGGTCCCTCTAGGGTTTAGGGTTAAGGGTTCAGGGTTTAGGGTTTAGGGTTTGGCCCTGAAAAGGGACCCCTTATTCTTCCCTGGCCCTATACAACCCAAGAGTCCATTCTTCAGAACCCCGCAAGGTAAGGGTAATATTAAGGGACCATATAACTACCCTTAGATCACCCAAACCGTGGGAGGTTTAGGGGTTCAGGGTTAGGGGTCAGGGGTTTAGAGCTTTAGGCGTTTAGGGGTTTAGGGGTTTAGGAAGTTAAGGAGTTATACAACGGGTCTAGGGGCTTATGGGTTTAAGGGTTTACGGGTTTATGGTCTAGGGGTCTATGGGTTTGAAGGTTGAGGAGTCTAGGGTTTAGGGGTCCAGGGGTCCAGAGGTTTAGGGTTTTAGGGGTTTAGGAAGGTCAGGACAAGAAATTAAACTTTGGCTGCCCGGGAACAATATTCGAGACTCTCACGCCATCACAAATCGCAGGATTTGGAACTCCCTTCTCCAAAGGGGCCTCCCAAAGCCTTCCAAGAAATGAGGGCCTACTCTGGGTCCTAGTAGCCCTAAACCCTAAACCCTCAACCCTAAAAAAGGAAATGAGGACCTACTCTGGGTCCTGGTTGTTGGCTGGGCCGAGAAGCGCAGGGTTGGGTGGACTCGCTGAAACCGTTGAATCTCGCGATGTTCAACTCCCCCAAACCCTAAACCCTAAGCCCTCAACCCCTCTTCTCCAAAGGGGACTTCCGGCCTTTTTTGGGGAGCCTCTGAGCAAGAAACCGGCTTCAGACCCTCACCAGAATTCGAACTTTCTCATCTCAACTTGTGGATTCAGAAATATCAGAGACTCGAAACACGTCTTGTGGATCTCCACGCCCTAGACTCTAAACCCTAAACCCTAGAGTCCAAACCCTATCCCTAAACCCCAAACCCTAAACCCTATCCCTAAACCCTAAACCTTAAACCTTAAACCCTAAACCCCCAAAGTTCGACCGCCGGCCTCCTCTAGACCACGCTTCTGTCGGTCTCTTTGCCACCGGACCAGGGGCCAAAAGTAAACGACCTCGGGTTTTGGGTTTAGGGTTTAGGGCTTAGGGTTTGGGGTTTAGGGTTGGGGTTAGGGTTTGGGGTTTAGGGTTTAGGGTTTGGCGTTTAGGGGTTTGGGGTTTAGGGTTTGGGGTTTCGGGTTTTGGGTTTGGCGTTTAGGGGTTTGGGGTTTAGGGTTTGGGGTTTAGGGTTTGGGGTTTGGGGTTTAGGGTTTTGGGGTTTGGGGGTTTAGGGTTTGGGGTTTAGGGTTTGTAGGGTTTCACGTTGCAAGCTCAAATCCCTGAGGGCCAGGAGTCACACCACTTGTCGCCTTCCCAGACTTTGTCGCCTTCCCAGAGAGCCCAATTCCCTTCACAAACAATTGCCCTGAAATCATACTTCCGAAGGACGGTTTAGGGTTCAGGGTTCAGGGTTCAGGGTTTAGGGTTTAGGGTTTAGGGTTGAGGGCAGGCCTAGACTCCAACTTTCTCCAAGCTCAAGCCTCTCTTCAGAGGAATCATACGCGAACGTGCTTGATAATGCCTACCAGGTACCCAAACCCTACATCCTGACCCTAAACCCTAAACCCTAAACCCCAAACCCTAAACCCTAAACCCCAAAACCACACCTAAGGCTGCTCAATTTCAGCCGCGGGTCCGCGGCCGCAAGGCCCGCCAAGGCCAGCACAAAGACCTTGAGAAGGGCTCCAGGCTTTGACCCCCAAACCCGAAATCTTAGAGGTTAGGGTTTGGGGTCTAGGGGTTAGGGTTTAGGGTTTGGGGTTTGGAGTTTGGGGTTTAGGGTTTGGAGTTTGGGGTTTAGGGTTTAGGGAGCCCTGAACCCTGAAGCCTAAACGAGGTGGAAGTTGTGGCTTCTAGGGCTGCTTAGGGATTAGGGTTGAGGGCTTTCTAGGGTGTATAAGGTCTAGGAGGTTCAACTTAAGTCTTGGCCTTGTCGTGGTCTGCAGCTTAGTAGAGAAAAAAACAGGTGGGCTTTCCCTAGGAGAACGCTACCCCCTTGGTTTAGGGTTTGGGGCTTAGGGCTTAGCCCCCCTCCCCCCCCTTCCCCAACCCAAGACCGGCAAAAACCCTCACTTGGCCCCTAAACCCTAAACCCTAAACCCTAAACCCTAACCCTAAACCCTAAACCCTAACCCTAAAGCCTAAACCCTAAACCCTAAACCCTAAACCCTAAACCCTAAACCCCACCCTCACTTCCCCGGGGCCGCCTGGAGCGAGGCGTCACCATCGGCCCGGTCCGCCACCGAGGCCATGAGCCGAGGCCAGGGAGTTTATTAGGCGGGGGAGGGGGGGGGGGGGAGATCGGGGGGGGTGGGTGGGGGTTTAGGGTTTAGGGTTTAGGTTTAGGGTTTAGGGTTAGGGGTTTAGGGTTTAGGTTTAGGGTTTAGGGTAGGGTTAGGGTTTAGGGTTTAGGGTTTAGGTTTTAGGGTTTAGGGTTAGGGTTTAGGGTTTAGGTTTAGGGTTTAGGGTTTGGGGTTCCGGGTTTCGGGGGGTTTAGGGTTTAGGGGTTGGGAGTGAATTGGGGGGGGGGGGGGGGGGCGGCTGGGGGTTTAAGGGTTGAGGGTTTGGGGTTTATGGTTCCGGGTTTAGGGTAGGGACTTCTCCGTCTGACAATGTGTTGCAAGGCACATCAACGCAGGCATGCCAGTTTCGGATTGGACTTTGGGAAGAAAATGAGGTTTTACTTGATTTTTCACGGCCACAAGATGAGGAAGCCCCAAAAAGTCTGACGTTCATCTGTTGGTTGAACAAGGCTTGAATGTTTGAGAGCTTCAGACTCTCGACCCTAAACCCTAAACCCTGAACCCTAACCCCGAACCCCTCCCTAACCCCTAAACCCTACTCGCTGCTTGTGTGGGGTGGGGGTTGAGGTTTAGGGTTGGACGATATTTTAGAGAACTGACCATATTGCCTTAACCTACTGGCTCATAGTAGGGAATGCGGGAAGCAGGTGCCCTTATCGAACCCAAAAAAATACGCGTATAGGGATTCTACAAGGCCCCTCATTCCAAAAAAATTACACAGGAACTCATCTCGACCCAAACCCTAACAAAAAGGGATACGGGCCTACTCTGGGTCCTAGTCAGTAGCCTAGTCAGTAGGTAGATCCATAGTGGGGATCCATTTTGGGGATTAGAGTTTTGGGCTCCCTGGGCGCGCAGGTGAACCAGAAGACCTTTGAACCCTTTAAACCCTTGAATACCCGTAAACACCCCTTTGAACCCTTCAAGCCCTTAACGCCCTTAAAGCCCTTGACGCCCCTAAAGCCCTTAACGCCCCTAAAGCCCTTGACGCCCCTAAAGCCCTTGACGCCCTCAAAACCCTTAAAGCCCTCAAAACCCTTAAAGCCCTCAAAACCCTTGAAGCCCTCGAAACCCTTAAAGCCCTCAAAACCCTTGCAGTCCTTAAAGGCCCCCTCCCCAACCAAATGGCATGCCTCAGCTCCCTCGCGCCTGAGCGCGCATCAGTCTCCGGTAGCGCCCCACCATGAGGTCCTCAGGCGCATGTAAACAAAAGCTAGGAGGGGCCAGGGGGGGGCCCTAAACCCTAAACCCTAAACCCTAAACCCTAAACCCTAAACCCTAAAGGGGGGAGGGGGGTGGGGGATTTTTTCTGAGCGCTTGGAGAGGGAAAGAGGGGGGTGGGGCGGAGGGGGGTGGGGTTCGGCTTCAGGGTTCCCTAAACCGCCCTACATCCTAAACCCTGACCCGCGGCTGAAACCCCAGCCCCTAACCCCGAAACTTCGGGTTTAGGGCTCTGGGATGTAGAGCTTGGAGTTCAGGGTCTAGGCGGCTTGCTTGCCAGTTCGAGTTAGGACATAAAAGGAAGCCTGAAAAGGACCAGAAAGGGAACCTAATCCATGTTTAGGGTGTCGGAGGTTTGGGGCATTGCAGCAAACCCTTGAGGCCTTACACCTCAAGCCCCGAGCTAGAAGCAATATCAACCCTAGCCCCATGCATGCCGTTTAGGGTTGAGGGTTTAGGGTTTAGGGTTCAGGGTTCAGGGTTTAGGGTTTAAGGTTTAGGGTTTTGGAGGCAGCTGCTTTTTTTTCGCGCACAGTCCTTCAAAGCCGGACCGCTTCCGGGGGCGCTGTTTCGGTTCATAAGACGCTCAAACTACTGTACAGGTGGCATGCCAGTGACGAGATGTGTCCCAAACCCTAACCCCTAAACCCGAAACCCTAAACGAGATGTATCCCAAACCCCACACCCTAACTCGGACAAGAAATCTGCCATCTGATGCCCCAGTCTTCACCACTGGAACCGTCCCTTTGTTCCTAAATTGCCATGACGGCCGGCTCTGGCCAGCCCATGACGATGCTGTGATATGTACAAGCGCGCTTTGACGGCTTAGCTGTCTTCTGAGCCGGACACCTACATGTAAGATATCGGCGATCCAGTGACGATGCGACATGGGTTGACTGGACCTCGTCTTCACTCTTGATCAGCCGATGTCTTCAAACTGGGACCCCGGCCCAAGGTAAGCCACAGGAAGCATGGAACCCTAAACCGGAAACCCTAGTCTCTGAACCCTAAACCCTAAACCGCAAACCCTAAACCCGAAACCTTAAACCCTCAACCCTGAAGCCAAACGTTTAACCGCAGCGGTCTGAGCTGCCAAATCTCACCTGCCTCAGTTCTCCGGGTCCCACAGTGTCGCCCACCCGATCGGCACGCTTGCCGGTGACAGCAGGGCCCTGGCTGGAGGGTTTAGGGTTTTGGGTTTGGGGTTTAGGGTTTAGGGTTCAGGGTTTAGGGTTTGGGGGCTGCAGAGCAATTCTCAGCGAGCTCGATTCTCGGAGCGTATTACCTGAAACAAAAGGCCATACTATAGATCCCCTAAGATGCTCTAAGCCCTGAGCCGAAGAAGCGCAAGGATTCCCGCCTGTCGGCGGACGGGCCTTCAAAAGAGGCGAGCTCCGCGGCATAGACACGCTTCACGAGCACCTTGCTGCGCGCATGCTGAAACACCCGAAGCCTCTGCTCTTGTGCGCGCGAGTGAACGCGCGCGAGGAGAGAGAGAGAGAGGAAAGAGAGAGATCGAGAGAGAGAGAGAGAGGCAGACAGACTAAGAGTGGGTTAGAGACGGAGGCAGAGTTTCGTTGAAAGCAAGTGCCAGACCCATGTCCTAGGTTTTCAGAGTTCGGGTGTGTGTCTCTGTGTATGACACTGCATAATTCCTAGGGTTCAGGGTTTAGGGTTTAGGGTTTAGGGTTTAGGGTTTAGGGTTTAGGGTTTAGGGTTTAGGCTTTAGGGTTTAGGGTCCCCCCCCCCCCCACCCGCCCCAACCCTAAACCCGTTCAGCAAGGAAGACTGGCTGAGCTCTGCGCGGCGAGTAAGAGAGCGGCCAGCAGCACGCCAAACCTGGACCCGGAGCGCATCATCCTCGGCCAATGTAGGGGCGCGGGGTTTAGGGTTTAGGGTTTAGGGTCTAGGGTCTAGGGTCTAGGGTCTAGGGTCTAGGGTCTAGGGTTTACTGTAGGGTTTAGGGTTTAGGGGCGTGGGGTTTAGGTTTGTGTTCGATACGATGAGCGGCAACGAACCTCCGAAAGCAACCCACACTAGAGTTTAGGGTTTAGGGCTTAAGTTTTAGGATTTGGGGTTTAGAGCCTTTAGGTAGGACCTTAGGAATCAGGGCTTGCGATTTCGGGACTGATCGATGTTGCCGGCCCTTTTGGTACAGTAGTACGAGGAAAGTACAGAGTATACTGCAATACAGACCGAAACTGGTGTCCGTTACGTTATGAATCAGAAAAGTAATTCGTAGACCCAGACTGTAAAAAGGGCCGATGATCCGCCTTTGAGGGCTTGGGCCTCGACCAACTCACCTCCTAAACTGGATTCGGGTCCAGCGATACTTACCCCCGCCCCCACTTGTTTTGCGTTTCAAAGTTTTAGGGGCGGAACCGTGGGGACTCTCCATGACACCCACTCAACTTGCACAATGGCTGCCAGCCGGGCTGCTTTGTTTTGGAGTTGCTCGCGAATCTGCCTGCACGGGGGGAGAGGGGGGGGGGGGGGAGCTTCGAGTCGAAGTTGATAGGCAGGTGCCTAAACCCTGAACCCTGAACCCAGGGTTTAGGGTTTCGGGTTTAGGGTTTGGGGTTTAGGGTTTGGGGTTTAGGGTTTCGGGTTTAGGAATACACTAAATGTCTAAGGGATGTTTAGGGTATGGGGGGGGGTATGTTTGGGAGTCGAAAGCTGGGAAGGCCTCCTAAATCCTGAACTGTTAAAGGGGTATTTGCTTAAGGCGTTGGATTCCCAAACCCTAAACCCTAAGCCCTATACCCTATAAACCCTAAACACTACTCCTAAGCAGTTCAGCACGCAGCTTCCGGGCCCGAATCCCTCAGCAGCTAGGGAAAGGGTGAACTCCGAAACCTCTTGACCTTTGATTTAGAGGGTTTGGGTTTCTAGGGTTTTTAGGGTTGTTTCGGGTTTTTTGGGTTTTCGGGTGTTTTGGGGTTGTTTAGGGTTTTGAGGTTTTTTAGGATTCTTTTCTAGGGTTTTTTGGGTTTTTAGTTTAAGGTTCAGAGATTCGCCCATCCGCACGAGTTTAGGGTTTAGGGGGCAAAGAGAGTTTTGGCTATCATGACCCCATGTAGACTTTATGGGGTAGCTTCTTGAATCCAAGGGACCACTTGCGGCATCTCGCGACTATGTGAACTAGCGCGTGTGCTACTTGCTAGAAACTAGTATCTCCTAAAAGGGCACGCCATACATACACCCGCCAGTATCCCACAGCACCTACCACACAGATAAGGATCCGCGGTGGCGTGTAACATCAGACCTGAAAAAGAACAACGTTCATGCGAAAGTCATAAGCCTCAACAAGAGAATATGGTCCCTTGACACCCTCTCCCCTACATACCCCCTCGCCCTGAACCCTAAACTTCCTCTGGGGATTTCCCAAAATAGGGGTACCCTTCTTGGGGGTCATCAGGGCTATCGCATTTGGGGGTGCCTAAACCCTAAGCCCTAAGCCCTAACAACCCTAAACCCTAATAACCCTAAACCCTCATAACTAATAACTCTAAACTCTAAACCCTAAACCCTAAACCCTAAACCCTAAACCCTAAACCCTAAACCCTAAACCCTAAACCCTAAACCCTAAACCCTAAACCCTAAACCCTAAACCCTAACCCTAAACACTAAACCCTAGACTAGTCACAAGAGAAGGGCCCAGCCTCTGGGATGCCCCTCCCTGCTTCTTTCTATCGGCCCGCTGAGCCGCAGGCATACGGCGGAGCAGGCGACGTGTGTTGGGTTTAGGGTTTAGGGTTTAGGGTTTAGGGTTTAGGGTTTGGGGTTTAGGGTTTAGGGTTTAGGGTTTAGGGTTTAGGGTTTAGGGTTTAGGGTTTAGGGTTTAGGGTTTAGGGTTTAGGGTTTAGGGTTTAGGGTTTAGGGTTTAGGGTTTAGGGTTTAGGGTTTAGGGTTCAGCAGCTCCGGGTCGAGCAATCTCCAGTAGAGCCGCTGTTTGGGCTCTCGGAAAAAACCCACCCACCCAGAGAATCCCAAAACATTGAGAAACAAAAAGTTTACATTTTTCATCAGCAAGCCCTGTCCTCCAACCTCACTCTGTCATGGACCATCCTACCCACGAACCATTTCATCGGCCTGGAAAGGGAGCCAGGGGGGGGGAGGGGGCTTGAGTGCCCAACAGGGCCGGTCGATTTGCCGTGGGCAAGGCCAAGCCCAAGGCCGCGCGCGCGCGCGCGGGCGCCAGGACAAGGCCAGACCCTTGAGTGCCCAACAGGGCCGGTCGATCTGCAAGGATTGGCCCCAAGGCCAGTGACCAACAGGGCCGGTCGATTTGCTGCCTTTAGGGTTTAAATATATATAGGCAAGAGAAACCGTAACCCCAAGCTTCTTGGTTGGGGCGTCGGCATGGGGCAGGAGCTCCAGCGCCCGCTCCACCACGGGCTCCTGCGCGGGATCTGGGGAGTCTCGGGTTTAGGGTTTTAGGGTTTTAGGGTTTAGGGTTTAGGGTTTCGGGTTTAGGGTTTAGGGGTTTAGGGTTTTAGGGTTTAGCATTTCGGGTTTTAAGGGTTTAGGGTTTTAGGGGTTTAGGGTTTTAGGGGTTTGGGGTTTAGGGATTTAGGGGTTTAGGGTTTCGGTTTTTTAGGGTTTAGGGTTTTAGGGGTTTAGGGTTTTCGGGGTTTGGGTTTAGGGGTTTAGGGGTTTAGGGTTGTAGGGTTTAGGGTTTTTAGGGCCTTTAGGGAGGGCCTTTAGGGCCTTTAGGGCCTCTAGGACCTTTGGGGCCTTTAGGCTTATGGTATGTTGAAGGTCCAGCGCCGTGAGAAGTGTGCCGGCTGCCTACTCACACAGAGCGGCGGGCAAGCGAATGCACGAGTTGTCCCCAAATTGGGTAGAGGGTTGAGGGACCCTTCGGCCCAAAACCCTACGCAGTGGGACTCTCCGGGCACGGGTTTAGGGTCTAAGGCTTAGGGACGCAATCCGGGCAGGTCCTTGTCGTTGTGCTGGTCGTCCTCTGCAGTAGCAGGCCAAGTATACACACACGTACATATATATATATATACATTATGTACTATGTATATGTGTACTCCTACAAAACCAGGAAACCCAAAAAGCTTAAACCTCTCCTAATGGCAAAAAAAAACGCATGATTGATATCCTAAGCCCTGCACTCTACATGCACCTTTTACTTGAAGGCGTTAAGGCTTAGGGTTTGAAGTTAGGGTTGCAAAGGTTTTGGGTTTAGGGTTTAGGGTTTAGGGTTTAGGGTTTGAGGGTTTAGGGTTTGAGGGTTTAGGGCTTCGGGCTTAGGGTTTGGGGCCTGCTGCCTGAAAATAGCTTCAGACTCATTGGCGGATCCTGAACGACCCTTCGAGAAACAAAAAACGAACTTAACTTAACCCTCAACTCCTAGTTGCAGCGCTGTCTCTTCCCCTTTTTTCCCCTAAGCCCTAAGCCCTAAACCCGAAACCCTAAACCCTGAACCCTGAACCCTAAGCCCTAAGCCCTCAACCCTGAACCCTCAACCCTAAACCCAAAACCCTAAATCCTGAACCCTAAACCCTAAACCCTGAACCCTAAACCCTAAACCCTGAACCCTGTCTTAAGGAAGCGAAGATGGAGCTTCAGCTGCAAATGCACATGCGCCCACGCGACGCCTTTTCTGCCGGAGGGCTCTCAACGGCTCAAAGAGATCTGAGCTCAAGGGATCCGCTGCGGTTTCGGAAGTGATTGGTTCACCGAATGCAAGCACAGTTAAGCTGAACATTCACACTGATGTCTTTTTCTTTTCGGTGGACCAACTCCTTCAACTGTACTGTGGGGTTGCGCAACCACTTGATGAAATTGTCCCTAAGGGTAGTGGAGTGCTTGGTTAGAACATCAGCATGCATCAAGTCAGTTGGCACCCAGTGTACCTGTTCGGGACTGATGTAGTCCTGTATCGAACGAATCGATATTGTTGTCCGTTTCTCGGACGTCGAGGGGTTATCGGAGATCACGGCATCGTACAGACTTTTACAGTCTGTGATCTGCAACTGAGGAAGCATTCCTGTAGTTTTGAGCTGCTCAGGCGTAACCTTGAAGCCACCCAGGAGCTCAGAAAGGAAGGAGTTGCAGAACGTGCACCTATCGACGCACTCGTCCATAGCATTCGCCTCGGACGCAAGAGTTGACCTTGTCACCCTAGGGCTCCTCGAGCTTTTCCAATCAACAAGCGTGGCGCGGGTGATGGTATCCTTGCACTCAGGGCCTGCGAGGAGAACTAACACTCCCATCTGGCTCTTTCCACCGGGAGCGTTTGCCCAGCTGGAGTCGCCGTAGCCAATGACCGTGGTCGCGTAGTTGAGGCTTACACCATAAAAGGTGAGTCCTTCCTCGGCGGTGGTTTTGAGGTAGTCGATGCATTCGTACAGCATTTTGAGCTGCTGCGGTCCATTTTCCTGACCAAGGTTGCTCAAAGAAACTGTCGCGGAGATGTCTGGTCTGGTTGTGCCGCCCAGCCACTGTAGACTTCCTGCGCAGCTTCTGTACTCCTTGAACTCTTCGTTGGTTAGGGTGTCACCTTGGTCTGCACGTCCACGAGGTAGCTTGCCTTGCTCAAGCTCGTTGATGAAGGCCTTCTGAGTGACCTTGATCCGGAACTCGCCCTTCTCCTGGATGAGCTTGACCTCCTTGCCCTTGAAGACAAACTCTCCATCGTCAAGCAAATTGGTCTGACCCCATGTGAACATGTTCAGCAGCTCGTCGAACTGGTAGTCCTGGCGAAAGGCGACCAAGAAGTCGTCTACGTGGAACAGTAAGATGACCAAAAGGTCACCTGCGTCGTCGAGCTTGTAGTACACGGTGTGGTCCAGGCGATGCCTCTTGAAGTTGGCTTTGACGAGTTTGGACACGATATGGTTGATCCATGTCCTCGGCGCGTTGCACAAGCCGTAAAGGTTTCCCACAACCTCGTAGAGGTCGCGCAAGAAGGTCTGAGCCATTCGTTGAATATCATCTCGAGGCGGCCTCATGAAGATCGGCAAGTCTCGGGCCTGAGGCTGACCTTGCAAGAAGGCCGTCGACACATCGCCTGACCAAAGTTTCCAGGATTTTCGGTTGCGTTGCAGTCTCCTGTTGTAGCCTGCGCAAGCGATCTCGTAGATCAGGAACTCAGCCAATCGCGTTGGCGTTGGACTGGATCTGTCCAGCAAGCCAAGGTCCGGATCATGACAGCCCTGAATGACTGTACGGCATTTTGCCTTGATGTCTGGACCAGCGCCCCTGTTCTTGTCGCGGTAGGCATTGCGCGATGGCATGATGCGGCGCCTAAGCACCGGGTCTGCCCGTATCCGCTGAGCCTCGTCAGGGGGAACTGGCCTTATCGACTTCCAAGAAGTCCACGAAGTGAACTCCTTCTTGTTGGCTTGCACGTAGAGATCGACCACGTTGGAGGGGAAGTCGGCTATGATTCTCCTCCAAGGTATCTCCCTGTCGATGGCCTTGCGCTCCTGCCTGGACAAGGTAGTAGCGCGTCCTCCCTCTTCGTCGTCTGAAGAATCAGAAGACACTTCCACTTCCTCGAGCTTTGCTGCTGAACATCGAAAGGCCAAGCAAGGAGGCCCATCTTTGTACTCAGGAGATCCGTCCCAGCTGTGGTCTGGACCGTAGATCTCGAAGAGGTTGTCGAGGATGAAGTTAGTAAGGAGTGTCGCGCGGTAGTCCTTGTTCTTCTTGTTGTGGAGCTTGCTTGCTGGTAGTGCGTCATGTGGTCTTTTAGCCGGAACTTGAGGAAGAGGTCCTTCCTCGGTGCTCGTGGCTTGCATGCTCTCGGCAGCGCCATCGCCTGCCGTCTCAGGTTGATTTTCAACTGTAGGAGCCTCCAAAGTGGTAGGCACCGAAGTCGGTCTGTCATCATGAGAGACCTCGAATTCCGCGGATCCCGTTGCTTCAGCTGAAAAGGGAAACTCAGGAGAGAAAGGAAACTCCGAAGGTACCGGTGTGTGAGGAAGCGGTGACGGAACTGGCGGTAGTCGGTGAGGTTCCTGCGCTGGTGGTGTTGAAGGTGTTGGTGTCTTGGTTGCCGGCTCTTCTGGCGCTTGATCCAGGAGTCTTTTGACTGCTGCACGCCGTCGTGGTGTTGCGGGTAACCGTGGCGTTGATGGTTGATTTGGAGTAGGCGGTTGTATCTGACGTTGTTTTGGAGTCAAAGGCAAAGCTGTAGACTGACCCCTTGACCTGGAGCGCGCTTTAGCTCCTGGTCTGGCTTGTTGTTCCTCGCCAAGCTGCCAAATGTTTTGCTGCTGATAGCGAGGAGAAAAGATTTGAACATTGGCGCCGGTTGCTGTCTCATCTGCTTGAGGTTCAGCTTGCCGGCCAGCAATAGGAAGTGCCAAAGCATCTGCCTGTTGCGAAACTTGTTGTGGGTCAGGTTCCTGCAGCGTCTGTTGCCGTCCAGGTGGTAGTTGATACTGCCCTAGCTCCTGTTGTTCATTTTGAGCTTCAGAAACTGGTTCTTGGGGAGCATGTACAACAGGCTCAAGAGGTTCGTCAAGAGGAGGTCCAGCTTGTCGGCCATCATCCCAGAGACCGGCTCGAAGTAGTTTGCCTGCGTCCTTCAGCATCTTGACATCCGTAGGGCTGGGAGTCCACATCTCGACGCCAATTGCTGGTCTGAGCTGCTCGTGCGTCACCTGCACAAGCGATCCTCCACTCTGAACCCAAGCGTTCTTATCGTCCTTCACGACCAGGCGCCCCAGGATGTAACCGCCTCGCTTCCTGCCGCGCGCCTTCAGGTTCCACCGCCAGTAGGCCACCATTGACCCAGGTAAAAGCTCATTGACCCTTGCCCTGGAGGTCGCCGTTTTGCGCAGTAGAGCCCGTCGTATGACTGAAGATGCAGCCATTTCCGAGACAACTTGACACGCTTGTGAACGAAGTTGTTCAGCAAGGAGGTGGTAATCTGAAGTTGCAAGGGCTGCAGAATCTGAAAGAAGATCACCCGGAAACCTGGGAAGCTTGCCAAAGACTGCTTGCATGCTGCTCCGGCCGCGTGTGTGTATGCTGGTGTTCACCGCCCAAATGGCTGCACTTATGCACATCTCCATCTGGTCCCGGTTCACGACACCATTTTGATCAATGAGCCTCTCCAAGACCGATCTAAATATGGCGTTCCTTCTCTCGATGGCACCGATTTGGTGATGCCCGTCGGCCGGCACTGTGTTCATCAGCACCCCGCTTTCTTGGAGATGTTGTTGAAAAACTCCTTCAAAGGCGCCGTCGGCATCAACGGACATGAAGAGAGGATAGCCATATGGTCGAAGCCACAGTCGGTCAAACTCATTCAGAACAACTTGTGGATCCCGAGATTCCAAGATTGCGGCCTGGTACAGCTTTGTAGCAAGACATGTCACCCCAAGCAGCGCATGATTGGTCGAGGACAGGTCCCGCACATAGAACAGGTCGGCCTGCAGTTGCTCAGCAAACTGACCCACGAACTCAGGAACTGAAGCAGGCCGTGGCTTGAGCGGCACGCGTGCCCTCTCACAAGTACCGCATTTCAGGTGCTCCAACGCAGTTAGCACAGCTGCATTTATTGAACCGTGCGCCGCCAGCAGTCTCACCAACTCTTGTCGAGGTGGATGGCCTGCGTTGATGTGCAACCGGGCCACTGCAGAGCGCACCTCTTTCGGGATGGAGTCGGGCATCTCAGGGAAACTTATATCCGTACGCAACCCAGGCACATGCACGTCGGGAGTGTCACCCTTGGCGGTCTGTTGGGCTTTATCGTCCTCGGCAATCCCGTAGAAGAACACGGCGGTCCGGACAGGGGTTTCAAAGCGAAGGCGTGGCTGCCGAACTTCGTTAAGGTCTTCTGACTCGATGGAAAGTTGGCCGTTGTTCAGGATCATCGCTGCTCCCCTATGAGTGAAAGGAACGTCTGCTGGCATCCTTCGAGTGACTGGTTGCGCATACACCTGTGCCCTTGTCAGCTCCCAAGGAACGAGTTGCCTGAGCTGCTGCATCTCCTTGGAGTCATCGCTGAGATAAAAGTACCTGCTTTTGCCGAGGCGCTTCTCCAGGCTTTCGAGGAGGCTCAACCACTCTTCAGGGGCATCTACGGGAGGCGCATACCACACTTCATGAACATGCTCATCGAACTTCCAAGGGCAAAGCATGCGAACTTCATTCTGAATGCAGCACAGCATGGTTTCTGCTATGTCGCCTGTCTCGTGAGCTTGCAGAAGGCACCGACAATTGGTCACAAAGGAGCGCTTGCCGGCCTCGTTGTACTGATTGTCTGCAAAGCTCACCTCACACACGTCATGAAGCTCTTGAATCTTCAACAAGACACCGGAGGCATCTTCATGAAAGTCCGAGCTGAAGTCGACTATGAACTTGCCCTCGTGATGCACCTGTAGCTCGCAGCACTTCTGCACAGCAATTTTGACTTGCACAGGCTGGTTGGCTGCTCTGTGCACGAACAGCACACGAGGTTTGATTTGAAGGACGATCTGCAGCAAGAGTTCCGAAGACTTGTCTAGCTCAAGGCCCTGGAGGTTCACAAAGGAAAGCCCAAAAGTCTCAGCCCGTGAAGCTAGACTATAGTTGAAGCAACTTGTTGCAGCAGCGCCGTCCCAAAACACTTCCAAGAGATCTGCTCTATGACCTAGGTGGAGATCGCCAGGCCATTGGTTATACATCTCCACTTCGCCGCTCAAGAGCTGGAGCGACTTGTCAGCATTGTGCATCGCCCTCTTCCACTGGCCCTTCTTCAGCGGCGCTGGACCACTGCCACTGATCAAGGGTTCAGCACCAGGTCCCAGTCGTAGTCCTGGGTCTCCTCGCTGTCGCTGTCGTGGATCACTGTGGTCGCGGCCAGCGTTCCATGGTACCCGGAGGCTGAAGTCGCCAAAATCGGCTGCGCCCTCGTCTTCGCTGACGCCCCGAAAGTCGTTGGGGACGACGCTGTTCCCGGAGTCCACGAGTGATCCAGGACCGTGTCGGCCGAAGGCAAGGGAAGCGCATGCGATTTGGATGACGGATGATAAAGCCACCCAGGGGTTGCACCATCTGCGCCGACGCCCCACTTCCATCGACATAGGCAGTCCTCGCACGTTGTGAAGCGGCCCTGTGCGTTGCCGTGGCGCTTCATGTTCAAGTGCTGGCAGTGCGTGGGGGCAATCGTTAGCACCTGCTTCGGCTTCTTCTTGGTGGCCGTGTCCTTTCCCGTGCCAACGTCGAGGCTTCCCTGGACTTGCTTTCCCAGCCCAAGTCTTGTTGCACGAAGAGCCGTAGACACGGCTAGCACCGTCATCTGCCGAAGTCCCTTGACCATGCGACGCCAACTCACAAGCCATGCCGGGGGAGTTGCCAACATTTTGAACAAGGTTCAGGGCTCTCTCTCGAGCTGCTGACTCTTCATGGTTGTCTTTTGAAAGCTTGCTGACAAAGCACTTGCTAGAATCACACAAAAACTCACAGTCATGCGTGTCCTGCTCTTCCCAAACGAACTGCACATCGGCTGGGTACTCTGAGTTCTTGAGACACAAGTGGCCTTGGACCAGGAAGAGGTCGACCGTGCAGTCAAGAAGTCCGATATAGGCCTTGCGGTTGCACAAATCGAGCACAACATTGAGCTTTTCAAGGAGGCTAAGGCTGGCGAGAAAAGGTATTTCGAGGTCATTCAGGATCGAAGCGCCCAAGGCAATCAAAGGATGACTGGCTTCAAAAGCGACGGGAAAGTACACGCAAGTGCTCGATCGCTGTGGGGCCCCTGCTCCGAACTGAAAGGCCTCGCATCGTCTGGTGAACATTGCCTCCAGGCCAAAGCTTTGTAGCAGTGCTTGTTGATTGTCAAACCACTTCCGACTGCAACACGATCGCTGGCATGCCGTGTCCACCACACAATATCCCTGCATCTCGCTAGCACTTGTCATGCACTCGAACGCTGCACTCTGGAACACGACAAGGGAGCGGTGCACCTGGCCGGGATGATCGTCTGGACCTTGCGGGCATTGCTGTTGAGGATCAAACGCATACAGAACTTCATGTCCCCCTGCGTGCCGAACAGAAAAGACCTTTTGTGTCCCAGCGCCGCCCTTCTTGTCATTCACGCTTGTGGTGTTGCTCTTGCTGCCTTTACCGGCATCGCCTTTGGGCTTGCCCTTGGCACTCACGGCGCATTCCGAGTCCCCAGCCCAGTGACCGATTTGGCCGCAAGCCGAGCACGACGAAGAGCGCTTGCGCTCTTCCACGCTTTTGCGTGGAGCGCCTCTGTACTTCCGACCCTGGGTCATACTTTGTAGCTTCTTTGAAGTAACGGTCAGAACCTGCATGAGCTCCTGGATCGCACCCTCAGGGTCGTTGTCGCCATCTGGCACAAGCTCTTCACCGTCGTCCTCGTCGTCGTTGTGGTCTTCGGCTTCTTCGCCGTCGCCGTCCTCGGGGATCACGTCGAGGAACTCACTGTCCTCGTCTGCTGGGCCGCTCTCTGCTTCAGCAACCCACACTCGCCTCGCAGAACCGGCAGCCGATGAAGACGAAGATGTAGTAGGCGCCGAGGTCGACGATGACCATGCGCCTTTGTAGCCCTTGCCCTTGCCTTTTGGAAAAGCTCGAGGGTTCTGTTGCTGATCTTTTGCAGGGGGTCCCTGCACATATGGCGGAGGTTTGTGGTCCGGGTACTGCAGCACGAGAGCATTCTTGATCTCGTCGAAGTGTAAAGACTGGTTCGTGCCTACTAGAACCATTCTCTGCTGCTCCAAGGTCAACTTTGCCCTGTCGAGCAATCTGCTGCCACGGCTCTCTGAGTCATAGGTCAGGGTCACGTTGATACCTATGCTAAGCAGCGCCTTTTCAGCACGGTGGTACCTGTTCACATACGATCTCATGCCTTCGCCATTGTGCCTGCTGACCGTTTCGAAATCTGCTAGGAACTTTCGCTTAAGGTAGACCTGCTTGGCTTGCAAAGGTCCTCGGAGCTGCTCCAACAAGAACGCAATCCCGTCCTTGGCATAAAGCTTGGCGAGGTCGATGTGCTCGAGCTCTTCTTCAGCCTCCCCGCTCAAACTGCAGTAAAGTGACAGGGCGGCTTCGGCTTCGGACATGTAAGGCTTCACCTGGAGCTGCCAGATGCCCACCTTGCGCTCGAACTTGGAGAAGGCCCTTAAGTCATCTTTGCTGTATTGCCATTTCGGTGGAGCAGGCGGGGTGCCTCCGCGCCATCGAACCCCACGTTCAGGTCCTTTAAGTGAGGACCATGAAGCCTGGTCGGAGTCGCTCTTGGACTTGTTGAGGAGCTTGCGAAGCTGCTTGGCAGTGTCCTGCAAGTCGTCGAGTTCACCATCCTCGGTCTTCTCGCCCTTGCAGCTCTCCTTTGCCGTTGCTTGCTTCTTCGCCCTGCGTTGTCTCCGGCTCAATCTGCCCGGCTGCTCACTGGTTTCGCTTGGCGTCACGCAGGGATCTAAAGTCAAGGTCTCACTCTCTGCAGCCTCGCGCGCCTCAAAGTCGAAGCCTTCGCCGCCTGGTAGCCCTGGTGGCCCCAACCTGGCTGTCCGTGACATTCTCGGGCCAGGCCTTGTCCAGGTAGAAGCCGATGAAGGTGACGAGCGCGGCGACGTAGAAGCAGAGGAGTTCCTGTCGCGGGGCTGGTAGGTCCATGTGCCGTGGCGTGTCTCCTCCACAGCGGGCTGCGAGGTGTCATAAATCTGATCAGAGCCACAGCGCACACAGAACCAGCTATCCCTCGTTCTATCCCAACGGCAGTCATCGCTCTGACACGCCCTGCACATCCAAAGAGGTCCTTCGCCAAACTGTCCGCCAGAGAAGCCTTGTGCTCTGGCTCCTATGTTGTGTGGCGCAGTTGTGGCAGGAAAATTCGGAAAGCCAGGAAACGCTGAAGGGAAAGGTCTGGAAGGCGTCCAGCCGTATGAGCCGGGTTCACGAAGATCTACTCTTGGAGCACCGCTCATGCCGTTCTCGAAGACAGCGTGTCCGGCCCCATCTGCTCGAGGATCCTCGGAGTTGTTGCCGGGCATATCGATGAAGTCAAAGATATCATCCGGCTCGTCGCGTGGTGGAGGCCTCAGCCGAGGGGCAGCCATTCCACTCGGCACTGCGCAGTTCGCCCTGGATCGCAGCTCCGATGCCAACTTAAGGAAGCGAAGATGGAGCTTCAGCTGCAAATGCACATGCGCCCACGCGACGCCTTTTCTGCCGGAGGGCTCTCAACGGCTCAAAGAGATCTGAGCTCAAGGGATCCGCTGCGGTTTCGGAAGTGATTGGTTCACCGAATGCAAGCACAGTTAAGCTGAACATTCACACCCTGAACCCTAAACCCCAAACCCTTCCTGGGCTGCACCTGCATGAGGCCGTATCCGCGAAGCTCCGCGATCAGGTGCTCGTACTGGTATCGCTCGTAGGGTCCCTGGGTGTCGGGTTTAGGGTTTAGGGCTTCGGGTGTTTAGGGTTTGGGGAGTTTAGGGTTTAGGGCTTGGGGTTTGGGGTTTAGGGTTTAGGGTTTAGGGTTTAGGGTTTAGGGTTTAGGGTTTAGGGTTTAGGGTTTAGGGTTTAGGGTTTAGGGTTTAGGGTTTAGGCTCTTGGGCTTTGGGTTCAGGGTTTAGGGTCTAGAATGCAGAGTCTAGTGTAGGGCAGGGAGCCCACTAGTCCCCTGAACTGAGGGAACACCGCCTATGCGAGGATCTTCATGTGAAGTAGGGTACATACGTTCAAATAGGCATCCTGATCTGAAGTAAGGTATAGGTATAGTGGATATTGGGCTAAACCTTCTAGCGGGGTTTCCTCAGGATGTAGAGGGTTCAGGGGTGTGAGGGCCGAGTCGATTTCCATTATCTAGGGGCTTCCGGTTTTTGTTGGTGGGTTCCTTCCAAGATTTAGGGTTCAGGGTTTAGGGTTTTTATTTGGGGGAGGGGGGGGTAGGAGTAACGTATGTTGGGGTATTGGAGCCCTATTTTGGGGGCATCTACACATGTGGGCGGTCCACACATGTGGGCGTTTCTCAAAATAGGGGTACGCCTGCATATTTATACGTAAACTTAGATATACACACACACACACACACAGACACCCCAACATACCGCAATCATCATCCGGATTGTTTATCGCCCCCGACAATCGGAAACCCCATATCGGGGGCAGAATATTCTTTGGGGAAGAGAATTACGTTTAACTCCCGAAGATATGAAGTAGGCTTTGTACGACGATCCCCCTAAGGACACCCCATAGAAAATGAAAAAACCCAGTATGCCGAAGGGAGCCCCTTTTTACGCTCACGAAACGTTTGTTAAACTTGGTTTAGGGTTTAGGGAAGTTTAGGGTTTAGGGTTTAGGGTTTAGGGTTTAGGGTTTAGGGTTTAGGGTTTAGGGTTTAGGGTTTAGGGTTTAGGGTTTAGGGTTTAGGGTGAACCCTACGACAACACGTGCGGGGGGCAACCGCGGTATCCGCCTTCACGTACTTGAACCAAACAGGGTAGATGGTGCTCTTGACGAAGGCCTGTCCAAAAGCCATGAGAGGAGCCACAGCATTTCGCACGGTTGAGGTGCAGAGCCCCGTAGCCCCCCAAGCACGCATTGATAGCTTGAGCTTAAGCCCTAAACCCTAAAACCCTAAAACCCTAAAACCCTAAAACCCTAAAACCCTAAAACCCTAAAACCCTAAAACCCTAAAACCCAAAACCCCAAACCCTAAACTTCCTTAACACGGGTTGTCGGGCTTTCTGGGAAGAGCTCTCCAAGCTGCAGCAAGTAAACCCCAAAGCCCTGAACCCCCCAAACCCCCCTGAAGCAAGGAAAACTCCCTAAACCCTAAACCCTAAACCCTAAACCCGAAACCCGAAACCCTTCCAGGACTCGTGAGCTGAACGCGGCACATGACACCAAGTAGCCAACCTCCTGAGCCCTAAATGCCCACAGCCTTCAGCCCATTAGACTTGGGGTTTAGGGTTTAGGGTTTAGGGTTTAGGGTTCAGGGTTCAGGGTTTAGGGTTTAGGGTTTAGGGTGTAGGATTCAGGGTTTAGGGTTTAGGGTGGCTTCTGGAAAGACAAAGGGTAAAAGACCCTCAGCACCATGCCCCTCCCCACCCCCCACCCCAAGCAAAGCGCTGGCCTGCCAGGGGCTGAGGGTTTGCTCCTAGACATTTAGGTGTAGGGCTCAGGGTTTAGGGTTTAGGGTTTAGGGTTTAGGGTTTAGGGTTTAGGGTTTAGGGTTTAGGGTTTAGGGTTTAGGGTTCAGGGTCGAGAAATTTAGGTGTAGGGCTCAGGGTTTAGGGTTTAGGGCTCGGGGTTTCATAGGGCGGGACTGGCTCGAAAAACCCTTTCTTGCGTTCAAATGTTTAACGGGTTCAGGTTTCGGGGTTTTAGGCAAAGAGTCTAGGGTTTAGGGTTTGGGGTTTAGGGTTTAGGCTATTGCGTGTAGGGGGAGGGCTACAGTCCACTAGCTAATTCGTTGGGAGTGTGGTTTCAAGTAGGGCTTCCTCAGCGCCTGACCGCGACGGCGCTGTGAACCAGCACATCACCAGGTACTGGGTTTGGGGGGCTTCATACGTCTGGGAGTTTCGGTTTCGGGCTTTGGGTTAAGTAGGGTTGAAGGTTTCGGATTTGAGGTTTAGAGCCTTTTTCGACCCCGCCACAACTCTTGTAGACCCTAAACCCTAGACCCGAATCTTCACGGTGTCTGGGTTGCGAGGGCCGCGCGAGGCTGCCGGCACCGTCTCCCTTGCGAGTTCCGGGCAGAGGGCTGAAGCGCTGAAGCTTCAAACCCAGGAAAGCCCAAACCCCGAAACCTCAATCCCAAGCACTGAACCCCCTAAACTCTAAACCCTAAACCCTAAACCCTAAACCGAAAACCGAAAACCCTACACCCTAAACCCTAAACCCTAAGCCCTAAGCCCCAAACCCTAAACCCTAAACCCTAAACCCTAAACCCGAAACCCTAGCCCTGAACCCCTCAGCCGATCTGAGAGCCCTGAACCTCAAAGGCCCCGTGGCGATCCTGGTGGTACCACGGCACCACCGCCCTCTCCACGGCCATTCCTGCGGGGCTTGGGTGGATAAACCCTAAACCCTGAACCCTAAACCCTAAACCCTAAAATGACCGCGTGCTTCCCAAATTATTGCTTAGGGCTTAGGATTCAAGCCCGAAATCCTAAACCCTAAACCCTAAACTCCAAACCTGTAGTGGCCATCGGTAGTTTGGTCTTTAGAGTTTAGGGTTAGTTTCCTGTTCTCAAGCAACCGCGTGTTTCCCTTGTAAAACTCATAGGAACCCTGAAGCCCACACCCCCTAAACCCTACCTGGGACTCTATTTACCTACAGCTTAGTAGTACGTGCTCCTGAACTAGTGGGTATCGGGTTAGTATCGCAGGGCCTCTAACCCTGAACCCTGAACCCTAAACCCTAAGCCCTGCACCCTAAACCCTAAACCCTAAACCCTAAACCCACCGACTCTCTGTCTCACTGCGCGAGCCTCGAAGCACGGTGCGCGACATTGCCCTGTAGAAGGACATCGCGAGCCTGCGCCGGTGGCGTGGGGTTTAGGGTTTGGGGCTTCTAGGGTGTAGGGTTTGTAGGGTTTGTAGGGTTTGTAGGGTTTGTAGGGTTTATAGGGTTTAGGTTTAGGGTTTAGGGTTTGTAGGATTTGTAGGGTTTGTAGGGTTTGTAGGGTTTGTAGGGTTTAGGGTTTGTAGGGTTTGTAGGGTTTAGGGTTTATAGGGTTTAGGCTTTGTAGGGCTTATAGGGCTTGTAGGGTTTGCAGGGTTTGATAGGGTTTAGGGTTTGCAGGGTTTAGGGCTTGTAGGGTTTGTAGGGTTTGTAGGGTTTGTAGGGTTTGTAGGGTTTGTCGGGTTTGTGGGGTTTGTAGGGTTTGTAGGGTTTGTAGGGTTTGTAGGGTTTGTAGGGTTTGTAGGGTTTGTAGGGTTTAGGGCTTGTAGGGTTTGTAAGGTTTATAGGGTGTATAGGGTTTATAGGGTTTATAGGGTGTGTAGGGTTTATAGGGTTTATAGGGTTTGTAGGGTATGTAGGGTTTGTAGGGTTTATAGGGTTTATAGGGTTTATAGGGTTCATGGGGTTTATGGGGTTTCATAGGGTTTTATAGGGTGAAGGGCACCTTGACATATGCCGGGATTCCTTAAAGAATACACTTTGGTTCACAACTCTGATCCCTAAATATTCTTCACAGAAGGGGCATTCCATAGGAATATCCCTCCGGTTATGCATCGTAGGAGTCCTGATTCGAATTTAGGTGCAACCCAAGACTGCCAAACCCTGCAAACCTTGGGTGTACGGGACAGAGAGAGACACAAAACCCCAAACCCCAAACCAAAGGCGAAGGAAGGCCTTGAAGCTCGAAACCTACCCTTTAAAATAAGGGACCAGTAAGCCCTAAAAATCAAACCCGAATCTCTAAAGCACCCTAAACTTATTACTCCCTTGGGCCCTTTGGCACCCTGAAAGATATTCCTGGAAAAGATCCTATCAGACCTAAGGCCCAAAGGGCCACCCATCAACCCTAAACCTTGCTCCCTGAACCCTGAACCCTAAAGGCCTCGCTCTCATCCCTGAACCCTAAACCCTAAACCCTGCACCCTAAACCCTAAACCCCAAACCCTGCACCCTAAACCCTAAACCCTAAACCCTAAACCCTAAACATCCCCAAGCCCTGGGCCTTCGCGCAGCTTCAGCTGCCGGGGAGAAGAGGCCGAAGCGCGGCGTCGGCTCTCGGGCCGAAAGGGCTTAGGGTTTAGGGTTTAGGGTTTAGGGTTTAGGGTTTAGGGTTTAGGGTTTAGGGCTAGGGTTTAGGGTTTAGGGTTTAGGGTTTAGGGTTTCGGGTTTAGGGTTTCGGGTTTCGGGTTTAGGGTTTAGGGTTTAGGGTTGAGGGTTGAGGGTTGAGGGTTTAGGGTGTTGGGGCTTAACTATACAGCTTTTTTCTGGTTTGCGGCTTAGGGATGTTTACGTGTCATGAGCCAGGAGAGTAACCTCCTCAAGCTGTTCACCCTAAACCCTGAACCCAGGAAGCGTGAGCCAAGAAATCCCCCCAAACCTTGCACATAAGACCCCGAAAAAAGAAAGAAGAGGGTTTAGGGTTTAGGGTTTAGGGTTTAGGGTTTAGGGTTTAGGGTTTAGGGTTGAGTACAGACAGAAGCCTGTTTCACCGAGGCTGGGGGCCGATAAATGCCACGGCCTCGGTGATGACGGCCACCTGCCAAATACCAGGAGTCAAGGCTCTTAGGGTTTAGGGTTTAGGGTTTAGGGTTGTAGGGTCTGGTCTAGGGTTTAGGGTTTAGGGTTTAGGGTTTAGGGTTTAGGGTTTAGGGTTTAGGGTTTAGGGTTGTTGGTTTTAGTCTTAGGGTAGCTACATGGCCCTTTAGCATGGGCCGTTGGAAGGGGACCCCTTATATACCCCTTCTATACCCTGCACAAACCCAAGAGCCCATACTTCAGAAGCCCTTAAAGGTTGTCAAGGGACCATACTGAAGGCCCATACAAGTACCCTTTAGAAAGGCGGGGCTGTTGGTAGCTTGAGGGTGCAGGGTTTACAGTAGGACAGAAGGTTTGAAGTTGTTGTTAAGTCGTGGGCTGTGGTTTGGGTGGTCTTTGTCTTACGCGCGGCCCGATGCAGGATCTGCGTTTATGAGGTTTTCCCTCTGCTCTGGTGCTATGGCAACACTGAAACCTGAACCCTTAGCGGCCTTGCCCAACCAATGAACCAGGGCTTTGTCTTGCAGTATGAACTTCGCAGTTCGGGTTCTGAGACCCGCCTGGCTTAATCTTTGAAATCATCCTACGACTACCAGCAAGGTCAACACACGCGCATGCACGGAGCAGACATCGGCTTCGTGGCATTTGCAAAGGCGGAATTTAAACTCTAAACCCGCATGTCTAAACCTCAAGACTAAACTCCAAACCATCCCTAAACCCTAAACCCTAAACCCTAAACCCTAAAACCCTAAACCCTAAACCCCCAATGCAGAGCAAACGCGTTCACGCGCAGAAGTGTCCAGCTGTAGTTTCAAACGATGGAGGGGTCCCTCTTAGAGCATTTTTTTGGCTCTCTCCGAAGATCCTAAGAGCCCAAGATCTTAGGGTACTAACATGGTCCCTTAGTATGGGCCCTGAAAGGGGACCCCTATTAAATCCTTTACATCATGCCCTATACAAATTAAAGGCTCATCAGAAACCTCTAGCGGAGGTAAGGGAACATAGTAAGGGCCCGTATAACCACCCTTGGACACGAGGCTCGGAGACCTCAAGATTAAGACTACCACGAGACACCGAAGCCCTTTGACCTAGGCTCCTAAGATACCTCAACAGGCCGTAAAGCCGAGGACCCTGCGGCCCCCCCAGCTGTAAGAGCCAAAGCCCTAAGCCGAAGATCCCGAAACCCTAAACCCTCCACTCAAAACCCTAAACCCTACGCCCTCAACCCTCAACCCTCAACCCTCAACCCTCAACCCTCAACCCTCAACCCTCAACCCTCAACCCTAAACCCTAAACCCTAAACCCTAAACCCTAAACCCTAAACCCTAAACCCAGGCCTCCGCCGCCGCCAGGGCCTCCTCGGCAGCCTCATTGGACTCCTCGAGGACCTGCGTTGAAGGGTTTTAGGGATTAGGGTTTAGGGTTTAGGGTTTAGGGTTTAGGGTTTAGGGTTTAGGGTTTAGGGCTAGGGGTTTAGGGTTTAGGGTTTTAGGGTTTAGGGGTTTAGATTCCCTAGGGTTTAGGGATTTAGGGTTTTAGGGGTTTAGGGATTTGGGGATTTAGGGGTTTAGGGGTTTAGGGTTTAAGGTTTAGGGATTTAGGGGTTTGGCGATTTACGGGTTTAGGGATTTGGGGTTTAGGGTTTAGGGTTTCGGGGTTTGAGGTTTAGGGTTTAAATTTTGGGGTTTAGGGTTTAGGGTTTGGGGTTTGGGGTTCAGGGTTTAGGGCTTAAGGTTTTAGGGTGTTAGGGTATAGGGTTTTAGGGTTTAGGGTTTTAGGGTTTGGGGTTTTAGGGTTTGGGGTTTTAAGGTTTAAGGTTCTTAGGGAGGGTGTTAGGGTTTAGGGTTTGGGGTTTAGGGCTTGGCTTCTTTAGGATTTCGGGTTTGGAATTGGGGTTTGGGTATTTTTAGGGATTCGGGCTTTAGGATCTCGGGTTTTGTGGGTGTGGGGGTTTAGGGGATTTGGAGTGTTGTGGCGCTTGGGTATTTAGGTTATTTGAGCTTTCTGGATAGGGTCTCGGGTTTGGGGTTTCAGGTTTTGCGGCTGGGAGCTTTTGGGTGTGGGGGGTTCGGGTTTGAGGGTCGAGGGGCCGTGGGCTTAGGGCTTTCGGGCTTTAGGGTTTTTAGGGTTTTGAGCGTTAGGGTTTTTTGATGGGATATCCCCCCTTATACGAACAGTCCTTCATAGGGATTGGAGTACCGCCAATAGAATCCCTGTAAAGGATTGTTAGTCTAAGAGGCCAACTTTAGGGCTTTGAGTTTTAGGGCTTTCGGGTTCGTGGCTTAGGTTTTAAGGCTTTAAGACTAATTACAGGGTTCAAGGGGGGGTATGTAACCCAAGGCCCCCTGATACTGCCCACTACTCCCTAACCTAAACCCTAAACCTATACTCCCCTTAGAACCTTAAAAAAAAAAATAAATAAAAAAAACATTATGTTTAATATCCTCTTGAGCTTTTTTGTAAAAAGTCTAATCAAAATCCCAAGGGGGAGATAGAAACCCCAAACCCCTAAGAACCCTAAACCCTAAACCCCTAAACCCCAAACCCTAAACCCTAAACCCTAATCCCTTAAAAACTCTAAGAACCCTAAACCCTAAACCCTACACCCTAAACCCTAAACCCTAAACCCTCCCTTCTAGAAATTAAGGGGCTGTTTGTGGGCCTGGCCTTGCGCAGCTCGGCATCTGCCAGCCTTGGCCACGGCAAGGCTCAGTTCATGGCCTTTTGGGGGTTTAGGGTTTAGGGTTTGGGGTTTGGGGTTTAGGGTTTAGGGTTTGGGGATTAGGGTTTGGGGTTTAGGGTTTGGGGTTTAGGGTTTGGGCGTTTAGCGTTTTTAGGGTTTAGGGTGTTTAGGGTTTTTAGGGTGTTTAGGGTTTTTAGGGTTTTTCGGGGTTTTAGGGTTAGGGTTTGGAGTTGTAGGGTTTAGGGTTTAGGGTTTTGGAGTTTGGAGTGGTAGGGTCTAGGGTTTAGTGTTTAGGGTTTTGGAGTTGTAGGGTTTGGGAAATTCGGGCATAAGCTCGAAACCCGAGAAGGAATTAGATGGATGGACGCCTGCACAACAAGCAGGCGGCGGGAACCAACACGACACGCTTGCTAGCTGGTATCTTGGTCAACCCCGAATGCTTCGCGACATCATATGCTGCCTCCCCCCCCCCCCCTCCCCGACACCCAGGTGGGTGTTTTCCGATATTAGGGGTACCTTCTTGGGCTCCTTCTTATAAGGGGATCCTACGATTTGGGGATCCATATTGGGGGTTCCTATTCTCGTAACTCCCCAGGTGTGTTGGGGCCCAAAACCTAAACCCGCACCCTATGGACCCAAGACCCCAAACCCTACAGACCCAGAACCCTGAAAAACCCTAAGCCCTAAACCCCAAACCCTCAAAACCTAAAACCCTCAAACCCTGAACCCAGAAACCCTAAAACCCTGAACCATGACCCGAAATCAGATTGCAAGCCCAGGTGCGACGTAACCGCCTTCGCTTCCTCCGACCGCTCTTCTGCATCCTCCCGCTGGCCCGGCTGCGGAGAAGACTTTAAACCAACACGGCAAAATTTAGGGTTTAGGGGGGTTTAGGGGGGTTTAGGGGGGTTTAGGGGTTTAGGGTCTAGATCGGGGGGGGTTCGGGCTTGGGGCGGAAGAAAGCCCTCTCGTAAGGAGGCTCCCGACAAGTCCTCTAGGGGCTTGTGAAGACAAAGCCCCTTTCAACCCAAAGAGCTACCTGGGCTTTAGGTTCTCAGGTGGAGGTCGAGAGTTTACGGTAGAAAGGCAGGAAGAAAGTCGCCGAAACCCTAGACCAGAAAGCCTAAAAATTCGACCGCTCCTCCACCTCCTCATCGACGTCCACGTCATCGAAGCTGTTCGGGACCTTCCCTGGTAAGGGCCAGGTCTGGGGGGCTTCAGGGGTTTGGGGTTT